TTTCATATCAAATGCCATATTCAACAGGCAGATTGTCTTATCCTTATTTTGTCATAACAAATGATTTCAATGATGATAATCGACTGGATATTATAGTTGCTAATTTTGGAACTAATTCTTTAGGTATGTTTCTTGGTAATACCAGCGGACTTTTCGATACTCAGATGATACTCTCAATGGATAATTCTCGACCATTATCAATGGCTGTAGGTAATTTCAATAATGACACACGAATAGATATTGTGGTTGCAAATTATGGAACTGATAGTATAGGAATACTTCTTGGATTGAACAATGGAACTTTTACATCTCCAATAAAATACTCTACTGGCTATGATTCTAATCCATCATCAATAGTCGTTGGTGATTTCAACAACGACAATCGACAAGATATTGCAGTTGCTAATTCTGGTACAAATAATATAGGCGTATTTCTTGGATATGGAAATGCAAAGTTTCAAAGCATAAAACTATATTCGACAGGACTTAATTCACATACATGTTCAATCGCTACCGCAGATTTTAACAGAGATAACCGATTGGATATTATTGTTGCAAACGCTGGAACAGATAATGTAGGCGTTTTCTTCGGATATGGAGACGGGACATTTACAAAGCAAATGACTCTTTCAACTGACATTGGTTCTAGTCCTCACTCTATTATGATAGCAGATTTCAATAAAGATAGTTTTTTAGACATGGCAGTGGCCAACTCGAATACTAACAATGTTGGTGTATTTCTAGGTTATGGTAATGGGACATTTAACAGTATGAAAAAATATCCTACTGGTTATGGCTCTACTCCACAATTTATCATAGCTGGAGATTTCAACAATGATAATCAAACGGATGTAGTTGTGGCCAACAATGGTTCTAACAATGTTGGTGTACTTTTAAATAATCGATTGATTGACTTTCAAAGTCCAGTGACTTATTCTACTGGCAACTATTCAAGACCAATCTCTGCCTATCTTGGTGATTTCAATAATGATAATCATCTGGATATTGTTGTTACTAACTATTGGACCCATAATGTTGGAATATTTTTAGGGTTTAATAATGGAACATTTGCAAGTCAAATAACCTTTTTAAAAGGTAATTGGTCTTATCCACGGTCTGTAGCAGTGGGCGATTTTAACAATGATAAAAACGTTGATATCGTAGTCGCTAATTCTGGTACCGATAATATTGCCGTTTTATTGGGTCTTGGCAATGCATTATTTGCTAATGAAGTTATTTTCGGAACAGGCATCGGATCTCAACCACGATTTGTAGCTGTCGGTGATATTAATAATGACAAAAACATGGATATCGTAGTCGCTAATTATGGAGCAAACAATGTTGGTATCTTTTTCGGTTTTGGTAACGGTACTTTTGCAAATCAAATAATTTTTGAAACAGGCAATGGTTCTAATCCAATTTGTATCGCTCTTGGTGACTTTAACAATGATAATCACCTAGATATAGCTGTCGCTAATTATAATACTCACAACATTGGTGTACTATTAGGATATGGTAATGAAACATTTGACAATCAAGTGACATATTCAGTTGGAGAGCTAGCATATCCGACATATGTCACTATTGCCGATTTAAATAACGATGATCAAATGGATATTGTTTCAGTTAGATCGTGGAGAGATACCGTAGCTGTCTTTTTAGGAACTGGCAATGGATCGTTTGAAAGCTTGGTCATTTATTGGACTGGAGTTGCTTCTTTACCAGTCTGTGTTGTTGTTGGAGATTTTAATAATGACAAATTACCGGATATCATAGTCGGAAACAATAATAGTGATTATTTAAGTATATTTCAAGGAGTGGGTAATGGTGTTTTTTCCGGTTTTTCTATGTATTCAATCAATAGTTCTCATGATCAAAATTTCATTATCCTCGGTGATCTTAATAATGATAATCAGTTGGACCTTGTTGTTGCTGATTACAATGGAAACTCTGTAAAAGTTCTTCTCGCACATGATACATTTACTTTCAGTAGTTCAATAGAATTCTCAACGTCTCTTGCCTTACAATCATTATCATTAGCTATTGGTGATTTCAATCGAGACGGCCTGAAGGATATAGGAGCATTAAATGTTGATGGTAATAATGTGAATATATTCTTTCAGTATGAAAACAAAACTTTTCTTATGGAACAGACTCTCTCTACTGGAGATAATTCTCGTCCGCAGGCAATGGTCACTGTTGATTTTAATAATGACAGTATTTTGGATTTGGTCATCGCTAATGGTGGCACTAACAACATAGCATTATTCTTCGGGTATGGTAATGGAAGTTATCAAAGAACACAAACATATTCTACTGGTTCTAAATCAAGACCATACGCTTTAGCTGTCGCTGATGTTAATAAAGATAATCGACTGGATATTGTTGTTGCTAATTTCGAAGCTTACAATATCGGTGTACTTCTCGGATTTGACATTGCAGCATTTACACGACTTCCATTCTCAGTTATTTATTCAAGTTCTCAACAAAATTTAAAACATCTTATCATCGATGATTTCAACAATGATCAAAAACCTGATATTGTCTTTGTTGAAAGTAAAACAAACACGATCGGTATATTTCTTTCATATAGTAATGGAACATTTTCAAGTCCACTAAAATATTCCATTGCATCGGAATCTCAACCAATTTTTGTAGCTTCTGGTGATTTCAACAACGATAATCAAATGGATATTGTTATTGCTAATAATGGTACTGATAGTGTTGCAATCTTATTGGGTTTCGGCAATGGTTCATTTGCAAATCAAACAATTTATTCAACAGGCATTGAATCTCAACCACAATCTATAGCAATAGGTGACTTAAATAATGACGAAAACATGGATATAATAGTAGCTAATTCTGGTAGTGATAACGTCGGTATTTTCTTGGGTATTGGGAATGGAACATTTAGAAATCAAATAACTTTTTACACAGGTAATAGATCCATGCCAACGTGTGTAGCAGTGGGTGATCTGAACGGTGACAATAACATGGACATAATTGTCGCTAATAATGGTACTAATAGCATTGGTATTTTCTTAGGTGTTGGCAACGGAACATTTGTAAACCAAATAAATTTTTCAACAGGCAATGGGTCTAATCCAATCTATGTTACTGTTGGTGACTTTAACAATGATAATCAACTGGATATTGTTGTCATTAATAATGCTAATGGTATTGTTGGTATTTATTTAGGAAATGGTAACGGAGCATTTACAAGTCGAACAAATTGGTTAAGTACCACTTTATCTCAACTTGTTTCCGCGTATGTGGCTGATTTTAACAATGATAATCGACTGGATATTGCAGTAGCTGCTAATTATGGGTAAATGAATAAAATAGATATGCATGCTTGTTAGATCATAACGTATTTTAAAAGATATAAAGTAGAGTTGTTGGTTATAGATTATCCTACATAAATGAAAGAACATTACGAGTAAGAAAAATGTTGACTCATTTCAACATTAAATGTTTCATAATTTCAGAAAGGATCAATAAATTCCTAAGAATTCTGTCATAGGCGTGACGTTGAAATTACATACACTATCAACGACACCTCAAGATTAAAAACAGACGCACTTTTCATTATCTACTACAGATGTTAAGATGTGACGTGTCTCAGAAATAGGAAAGTGATCAAAGAGCTCTGATAGAATATTGAAGAGTTAGTGAGGAATTCACTTAGTGATTTCAAGTAAAAACAATTCTGATAGACTGTGAGAAATTTCTGTTTATTTCGAATTGAAATTATACAATCGCTCGGCTTTAGCAACAGAATATTTTATATCTCAGAAACCGTCTTGAAATTTCACAAGAGATGAAGGACAAGATTGTTTTTTTCTTCGCTAAATCTTTAATTAAGCTCGTCTCATTAATTTTGTCATCATCGTAGAAGCGGTGAAAATCAGAACTATTCAAATCAATCATCCATATCCATATATCGATAAATCATGACTGAAATCGACTATCATCTACGTTGTTGACCCTTTAATGATAATCATAAAGGATGTTTTATAGTGTTGCAGAACTAAAATAAGCAATGTTCATAAAAATACGATGCCAGTAAACGAGGCTCTCGTAATATCATAATCTATCGCACACATCATCTGTAAACGATTAGATATACGATCTCTGTTTTCCGTGTTATTCAATACTGATCATTAACTATTGTCCGATACACATCAGTCTATTCTGCCCGTACAAATATGATAGACCAATTGAAGAAACGAATATAACTGCAAGACTATAGTCAAAGCCATGCATCCATATGCAAAGACACATAAGAGATTAGATAGATGGAAGTTATAAGAATAGAGATCTTATTGCATAATAATACAATGTAGACATATGAACTTTTACATCGGTTATAGTTCACAAGCAAAGCCTTGTGAATTTTATCAAAAAAAAAAGGTAAAGATATAAAAATATGAGTTTGAGGATATATGTCACTTTGGTTCATTGTATGGTTTTGCGGTCTGAGATTAATGTAAATGATTTATATATTCCATCATGTTTTACACGGCGTAATACGATGATAATACTGTGTCTATGAAAAAATTAATTTACGAATCGTTTATGATCGTCAGTACGCCGTTTAAATGTGCTTACAGCTTTGTAATCAGATATAAACGGACGTAGTAATAACGGATCTAAGTTTAGAATCGATGATTGAGCATATAAAAACATTATACAGAAGTTTCAATGAGAGTATTGTTGATCAGAAAAAAAAATAAGAAATCGAAACTCTTCGGATGAACTAGATATTTCTGGTAGAATAATTTTTTTAAATCATTATAATAGAAAAATGAAAAAGTTTCATATTCCATTTAATTTCAACCTTGCTGTTGAAAAATATATACACACAAAAGTGTTTATTATTCATTTTTTCTCGATAACAAAGAAAATAATATTCCAAAATACACTATATCATAACATTACTACTAATTATATTAACAATTAAAGATTATGAAATCTACTATTTCAGCAATGCAATTTATATGCTCCTTGGTGACGGGAGAGGTGGTATTGCCCATGAAATGCGAATATCTCCTAATGAGTTTTATAATCCACAGCACGTGGTAGTTGGGAACTTTAATGGAGATGATCGTTTAGACTTTGTTGTGATCGATTATTTTCGAATCTATATATTTTTTGGATCTGCTGATGAGAGTTATCTGGACATAGTAACTTATCCAACTGGAAACAATTCATTTCCGGCATCTCTTAGTCTTGGTGACCTGAACAACGATAATCGACTTGACATTATCGTTGCAAATTCAGGTACCGAAAATATTGGCGTATTTCTTGGAAAAGACTATGAAAACTTTGAAGTTCAGTATGTACTATCTACTGGAAGATTTTCGAAGCCATATTCTCTTGCTCTTGGTGATTTCAACCACGACAATCATTCCGATATTGCTGTAGCTAATAGTGGCACAGGTAATGTTGGTATATTTTTAGGCTATGGTAATGGTAGCTTCGCATCACAAACGACGAATTTCATCGAGTCTGGGTCTGTTCTTGGTTCACTCGCTACAGGCGATCTCAACAATGACACTCAACTTGATATTGTTGTGACTAACTATTACTCAAGCAACCTCATTATTCTTTATGGTGCTGGAGATGGCACTTTTGTAAATAAAACAATCATTACTATGGAATATCATGCTTTTCCATCGTTTGTTTCACTTGCGCATATTACCAATGACTTATTTCTTGATATAGTTGTCACTAAACAGGGTTTTGGAAATCTCGAAATTCTTTCTAAGAAATGCTTACTCTAGTTCTTTTCTTATATGCTTATTCATATTAATATATTGTGACTTGTTGTAGTTATTTCTTATGTGAAAAAGATATTTCGCTTTTCTTCGACTTTTTTACTTCTTCATATCAACACATTAACAATTTGAAGATGGACTTTTATCTAAAAGAAATAAATTCTTAATTTAAACGTTAATTGTAGCCTTGAAAATTGTTATCTACAAATTTTTGTTCTTAGTTTTTACGTCAAAGACATGACTAGAAAAATGTGAGACAGAAAACGAATCAAAACACTTAGAGAATCTACTTTAAAAATTTCACAGATTTTTTTGTTGTATGAGTATTTTCAAACCTTACATTTATGGGCTTCATCTTCAAAACAATTAACTTCACATTGGTGTGGGTACACTCATGGAAAAACACGAATAGACAATCGTCACACATCGACACACACATGTCTACTGTTTAAAGCATTAAATCATATCCAAAAGAAATATTCTGACAGAACAGTTTATAGGAACCGAACTCTTCAGACATTCTCAAAAAAATTGAAACTAATATGACATTGTGATATCCTAAGACCCCCAATACATGAGAGGACCCTTGAGAGTGTGGGTGTGGAGTGTGAGTGCGGGCTACAATGACATGCATTCACACCCACATCCACACTCACACCCTACAAACTCATCAACACGAAAAATAATCTAAAGATCCATTAAAAAATTCTGAAAACAGTATTCAAGTACTTATGAATATTATATATAACTATAATGTTCATTCGTCAAAAGCCTACTAATAATTAATTTATGGCTCTTGTTTTCATTAATTTAATATTAAAAGATGGGTGAGGTGTGGGTGTGGGCCAGATACTTAGAATAAAACATTGTGTACACCTATATCCACGATTGAAGAAAAATAATCTTCGGCTACAATCACTCACGAATCTGAAACAATGTATCAGTCAAATGAATTGCATATCAACATGACTAATCTAACTCATACTCTATTCACGGATACACAGCGGAAAATGAGCAAAAGAAAAAAAAAATGTGTCGTTTTCTTTATAAGAAATTGATGGATGAGGTTACGGTAATTCTTCCATTATTTTCAATTTTTGACATTACAATACAAGAGTAAATACTTCGCCCATGTAATCACGAAACGCAAGATCGATGCGTTGAAACGCGGTTTCACAACAAAACGCGTCTAGACGCAGTTAAAAACGGGTTCACAACGCATTCAAATGCATTTTTAATATGAAACGCGTTGAGACGCAGTTAGAAAACTTTTGAAACGCGTCTGAACGCAGTTTTTGTATGCAACGTGTTGAAACGCAATTGTAAAAAAACTATGAACCGCGTCTCAACGCGTTTCATATTGAAATTGCGTTTGTACGTGTTTAATAAGAGTTTGACTGAACGCGTTCAAACGTGGTGTAATATGAGAAGCGTTGAGACGCAGTTAGAAAAAATTTTGAAACGCGTCTGGACGCAGGTTTTCTATACAAGGCGTTTAAACGCAATCAGAAAAAAATGAACCGCGTTTCGACACGTTTCTGAAAAAAATTTAATGCGTTTAAAAAAATTTTGTTTACGAACTGCGTTCAAACGTGTCTTAAATATGTTTTTCGCTCGCGTTAGGACGCAATCATATTTTCGAGTGGCTTTGAAAGTATTTATTTTTTGTGTATCGGACGCGATTTTACCCAAAAATTGCTGCTCTAGAAGAGTTAACTGCATAATCAAAATCATCAGCTTACATATATTTTATTCATCTAAACTTCATTAGACTTCTAATAAAGAATGTCGAGATGACGTTAAAATAGACGAAATTCAATTAAACATAGGGTGAACAGTCCATATTTCTCTAAAGTTTGTAAGAAAAATAGTTAGATAATATTGTAATAGTTTGCAGCTATGCAATGCCCTTTCAGAATATTGTTAAATACTACTATTTAAATAATATTATTAGTAACTTTTCATCATATATTTCTACTAAATTGCTTGTCAATAATTATCTATTCATTAAATTTTTCGATAAAATTATTTATCATATTACCAGTGCAATAAAAAAGATCGTAATATTTTTTATGTGTAGTAGATGATAAAAAAAAGATGTTATTTTATTAAAAAAATAAAAAACTTATTTAAAAAAATAATTGAAAAGTCATCTTACGTGTTAAGACTCTTGAATTCGAAAAAAATACATCTTGTTAAAATAAAGTATTTAACCGATGAAATTCGTCTTCAAATATATTTTATTTTGAATAAGACAAGATTTCGAGTTAGTATAACTCAGCGGTATGTATGAACGACTTCTAATCACTGGTTTATCTGTTCAAATCTAATCGTCGTCGCTTAAGGTAAAATCTAATCCATTTGCCAGGGAAGGCTAAGACCATCAAAAAATATTGATGGTGGCAACTCAGATCGAATCTGAAATGGATTATCATATTTTTTTTCAAAATTTTTAGTTTTTATATGAAACGCGTCCAGACGCATTAAATGTTTCATCTGGGACGCGTTTTCGCTAAAAATGCGTTTGAACGCAAGTCAAGCTAGAAGCGCATTCACACGCGTTTCTAAAATAAATCGCGTTTAAACGCTTCGTTTGTTTCACTGGGGACGCGTTCAAACGCGTTCACTCTTAGCGTTTCGCACGCAAATGAAACGCGTTTCAGACGCGTTTTGAGACAAAAAATATTTACATGGGCGTAAGCTACGCTGATTACGGAAGAATTCAATTTACTTCGGCAAAACAAAATCAACACGAAACGTTGCTGCAGATATATTGATAAATCTTGAACACGTCTCATCTGTACAGTACTTCATAGGAAAGACCTCAAAAAGGTACGAGTGATGAAAACAAGTAAAACCTCAAAGGTTGAATTTTCATATTCAGAAATGAAAAACTGTTCTTTTGTAGTTCACTTGACATGTAAGTCAATCTTTAGCATCTTCAAGAGATCATTTCTCTACTCGTCGAATAGGTTATTGTTTAGCTCTGATTCGAAAAATCACCACTTTAAAAATTACCGATACGTTTTTTAGACTATCTCATTGTTTATCAAAAATATAGTCTTTTCATTTTAATATCAGAAAAATACCAATAGGAGTTTTTTCGAATGAAGATTAGATACAAAATAGCAAACAACTATTAGAATAGTAAAAAGAATGCAAAGCTAATCACAGAAAATCTTCTCATCGATATTTTTCCAAAGAGAGAAATTGTGTTGATTCTTTTCGATTAACATGTAAAACGAAAAAAAAAACGTTTAAAACGTTGACCGATGTACAACATTCAAGACAAGATCTTAGTTTAATCCACAAGGAAAGCTTGTATTTTTAAAAAGAACAATAGAATATTTTATTTTGAACATTGACTATTGATATTATGAACTTCGTTGAGTGAGCTCATAATTAAATCTTTCGTGTTCTAATAATTCATGTTTGCTGACTATTGGCTTCTGTGTAGCAAGAGCAGCTATCATGTCTTCCTAAAAATATGATTTATTTCAATTTAAAATTTGATTGACAAATAGCTCTAATAACTAACCATGGTTACTGGAAAATCGCATAATTCCCTTTTTGGTATTTTATCTAATGTAATCGCTTGAGCATCTGGATCTCTAGGTGAACAAGGAAGCCAAAGATGCCGAGGATCATGAGCTTTTAGATTTTGTACCTATGTTAAAAACATTCAAATCAATAAATGAGTGAAATTGATGGAAGAGAATCTACTTTTTTGAAATGAGTAGCTGAACCAAGTCGTCGAATAGATCCTAATAAAGCTTCTCGACAAACAACATCAATATCAGCGCCACTATAGCTAAAAAGCAAACATTAGTATCTTTCATTAGATAAAAATATTAAACTTACTGTTCAGCTTTTCTTGCTAATTGTGCCCACTCATCGTCTTTTATCGTATGATAATTACTAACACTTAAATATATTTTAAACATTGCTGCTCTTTCATTTACATCAGGTAATGGTGTATAGATCCGCTTTTGGAAACTGAAATAATTCCAATAACGAAATATATCATGCATTTTTTACGTCAAATATACCTTCGTTGTATATCTGTATCCAATGCCCAAGGAATATTGGTTGTAGCCAGTATAAGAATTCTTGAGTTGTCTTTTGCAATACCTGATAAGACATCACAATATACGATTCGTTTATTCTTATGGGTGGATAAAAAAATATACTTTGCATTTGAACAAGAAAGTCTGTTTTGACACGTCTTGATGATTCAGATTCTGTATGATTATACTTACTGCATAAAGAATCAATATGATCAATAAATACAATACATGGTTGTTGCTCATGAGCAAGTTTAAATAAGTCTTTCATATTTCTTTCACTTTCACCAAACCACTTGGAAAAAATATCCGATGGATTTACCGAAATAAATGAAATTTCACATTTAGCCTGAATAGTTTTAGCTAAATATGATTTACCGGTACCAGCAGGCTTTAATAAAAACTCGAAAATAAAATTTAATTAAAAGTTCAAAACTCACTCCATAGAGTAAAATACTAGACCATGGTTTACGGTTATCTAAAAACGAATGAACAACAACAACAATATAGCGCATAATTAACATAGTCAATACCTCGAAAAAGATTTGGAAATTTAACTGGCAAAATAATCGCTTCTTCCAATGCTTCTTTAGCTTCTTTCAAACCGACAACATCATCAAATATTTCTTTAAGATCAGTTAAAATAGTATATAAAATAAAAGATGAATGATCATATTTATACTAGAAAAATAAATGTGGTGAAACTAACCTTCAGATTTTCGTACGTTACGCAGTTTGTCTAAGTCACCATCATAAACGCCAAAATCATTATTGTTTTGCGCACTTGCACTTCCCAAGCTTTCTGTATTTTGTCTTGTTATTGGTTCCATCTGACCATTCCTTATGTCATCTAAATTTTTGAAATATGATCTCAAATAAAACTGTTAGAGTATGGGTGTTTGCTTTCTTTTCACTCACACTTTCAAATCTCAACTCGAAAAGGATTTTCGATTTTTAGAAGAAATCCAGTTGCTTTCACTAAAAACCTCAACAAGTAGTATCGAATATGAAGAGTGTACTCAGAGTCTAGTCCGGATAAAATCTGGAATTATAAAATGAAGACAAAGATTCAATGCATAATTTGGATTATTGTCAGAGTTTTGAACTAATTAAGTTTTCAAGTAACTAAGATTAAGACTTCTCAACCTTTGAACCTCTTCACTGATTTTCATCCTCGCTAACATTCATATCTGGATCTGGATAGGATAAAAAGAAGCTTGCAAAATTTAGGAGAGAAAATTCTTATATTTTACTTGTGATGAACAAAGTATTATATAGAATACGAAGAACAAAGAGAAAGATTTTTGTTCAAGAAGTGAACGCTTAAGCGTTCTAGATTGTACAGCCTTTTGTTTAATACTTATTATTCTTTAATATAAACAAATAATACTGTGGGGTACCCAAAAGTAATGGGGTACGTACCTTATTTTCTTATAGAATGCTTGAAGATATTTTCTTTCTTTATGAGGTGATAGAAAAAATGAAGCTCTGTTTTACTATGCTATTTCATCCATATTCAACTGGTGTCATAATACGAAAATCTCAATCAGAACTCTTTTGTATAAAACTTCACAAGCACCTGATGCAGATTAGCACTTTTTGCATCTCAGTATCCAATAATTCAATAAATTGTATTTAAAAAAATACCACAAAATATAGCAAAAAAACTCTACGATTCATAATGAACAGTTTATTTTATATACGGAATAAAAGAAGTATACAATTAAAGTAAGCTTTACTTTCTCATTTGTAGAGTTTTTCACGCTGCATCTTCTGCTGTATTTTTTTGTTTTTAAATACAAAATATCAAATGATAAAAAGATGAATTCATCTTGTATCGAAACATCTCAATTTCGAAAGACAAAAAATTGATGGCTCAAAATTTGATTTATCTTGAAAGAAAAAAGTACAATTGTAAAATTAATTGTAAATAGAGGTGTAAGCCGAGCGGCTGAGCCGCCGCCGCCGAGGCAGTGGAAATTTTAAAAAATTTCCAGCCGCTGCCGCCGATTAACTGATCAATTTGTACCTCGATTCTCAATAATTCCATAGCTTTTTAAAGAACTAAGCCCAGTTTATATGAAGAAGAGTAGTCACTGGACCAGTTCTCACAAAAATAACTGGTCACTGGATTCAGTTCTGAAAAGAACTAGTTCTTGGAACTAAGAACTGTTACAGGGCTAGTCTTGACATTACCGCCATCTTCATCTGCAACTTAAGTTACATCAAAACATTTTCCTCATATGAAACGTAATTTGTTGGTGAAATTTCCAAGGGTGTTTGTGCGAAATGTAAAGAAACTTCATGGAAACCTAATTCGAAAACATGCACCAGTTTTGGTAGCACGTGCTAAACTAATTGTCGATGAGATTGAAAATTATTTGAAATTAAATACCAGTTGGCATCATGTACTTCCATTTTGGCAATTATCAAGTAAAGCGTTTCCTCACTTGAAAAGTCTTGCTCGAATTGTTCTATCAATGCCAACTAGTTCTACTCCTAGTGAATTAATACTTTCAAGAGAAGACTCAGTTATTCACGCTGAAAGAACAATATTATCTCTAGAGACCATTGGAAAGAATAAGATAATTCATGATAAGTATAATCTGTCAAAGAAAATCTAAAATTTTGTCTTTTATTGAGACTTTTCCTTTTCTTCGTCTATATCTTAACGATTGTATTATATCTAACCCATTGCCATTATGAATCTTGAGTTCATTTCTAGCTGTTCTGCGGGTACAGATAAAGTAAAGCTATAAAATACAGTTATTTCATGTAGCTTTTTTTTGCCGATATCAACACTCCGATATTGACATAAATAGATATTTTTTATCTTCGAAAAAACTTTACAGTTTCTAACTTTCCAGCCGCCGCTGCCGACATGCTAAAGATCCCGAGCCGTCGCCGCCACGACAGCAAAAATTTTAGAAATTTCTCAGCCGTCGCCAGTCGACAAGCTAAAGACCCTGAGGAGCCGCCGCCGGAGGAGTGAAATTTTTAAAAACTTCTCTGTCGCCGCGGCTGATCAACTCGTCAGCGTACACCTCTAATTGTAAACCTTTTTCCGCTGCATCTTGTGACATACTTCGGTTCTCAATAAAACATATGAACTGATTAAAACATTGGATCTGCCTCAATCATATACAAAAAGAGTTCTTATCGAAATTATGATATTAATTGAATAGGGATGAGATAGGATAGAAAAATAGAGCTTCATTTTCTCTATCATTCCATGACGAAAGAAAATTTCCTCAAGCACTCTATACGAAAATAAGGTACTTCTGTCTCTCATTTTGGGTATCCGTAAGTAATGATCCATTCAGTATCCGATACTAAATCATTATCGACTCCTTCAAGGTTTCTTAGATATCAGAGAGCAAATTGAGTGGATGTCGGGTGTGTTGTTTCGATGGCGTTTAGTGAGCGCAAGGATACTAATTAACTACACACAGTCACATATTAATATACTTAAATCTGTTGGATGAGCAACTAATAAAGTTATTGTTTGACTTTCATTGCATGCATGTCGAATTAGTTCAATAGCTTGTTGACGTTCAACATATGTTAAATCATAACTGTTTTTCTATTTAGAAAAAGAAAATTATTTTTAATTAAAGATCAATAAATGTTTCTTACTGATGATCGTATATGCATAAGACGATCACCAACTCTCAATCGTCCGTTCTTATCAGCAATTGTCTCTGGAATGATATTTCTGATAAATATTCCATGGTCTCTAAAAAGAGAAAAAAAAACAAGAAATTACATTTTGAGGGTTTTTTTAACATAAAACCATAGAAATTGACCCTTCAATGTATTCACGATCAATACCACCTTCTATTAACAGATCCCAACGTGTATTTGGTAGTTTTTCTATTTGAATTTCTTCCAAGATAGGTGGCAATAATCGGCGAATTAACTAAAAAGATATAAAAGTTGCATCGATCAAATTTCGAATGACAGAAAAACTAATACACTTACTAAGTTAACATGATTACCGGCTGTCCTAAGTATATCACGAGCTACTTGATGTTTAATATTAGTAAAATCCATGTTATTAACACGTAGAATAATATCATAAAGTCTAAACATAAGAAAAATATGTATTTTGTTTTTTCTCAGAAGTACAAAAATTCATAAATTCACTTTAATTGTTGATCACGATCAGCAGGGCCACCTTCAGTAATACCTCTAACGACAATAGCTTTAGAACCATTAATACCATAAACATCAGTTCCACCACCAATTGAAAATCCCCAAGCAAGACCAGATGGCTTAGATAAAATTAAAAGTTTAATAAATGTTTCAGTTTTTCTAGTATCTTTACTCGTTGAAGGTTAATTTCGATTTCTTTCCAATGATCATCATAATTAAATTGTACTATATGAGTAAGTGAATTGAATCTTGATGCATTTTGACGATTTTCTTGCACTCGATCATGTGTATCAGCTATCATAGAAAGATTAATTGATATTTTCCTCCCTAATTTTATGATAGAGTGTGGGTATGGTTGATGATCGTATTTTTACGAATTCACAACCTTAAAATGTTAAATATGTCAACTAAGTAATGATATAAAAATCAGAGCATGAATATGATTCTTGTCTTCATATGTTGTACTTTCGTAAAGGCTATACTTGACAAATCACATGTTGATGTAAAAAATCAGATTGATCGGTTTTGACTATGCATTCTCTTTATAAAATAGTGCTACACTATGTTTTATATTAAAATTCATCAGGTCAAGCTATTTTCCATTCATAATGTAATAGTTTTCTTTTTCTCGTATTAACCAACTGTATAAGATGCTAGTTATGCAAATTATGAAACTAATTGCGCAGTTGTGGCGTTTTCGAAATAATGATTTTCTTAGAATCATAAAGCCAGCAAATATACTAATTATAACTTTTCTTTTGTGTGTTAACAATGTATCACAAGAATTCCTTCCCCGCCCAAGCAAACAAAAAAAAGCCTACGATGGGTGCGACGCGCAGTCGAAAATTTGATATTTATATTTTTTATTCCTTCTGTTTCAATTTCGATTTCCTCAGCACTCATCGAAGTTTCGAGTACTCCGAGA